CCCCAAGTGACCCCGTTGTAGCACGTGTGTATCTGAGATGTGTTTTAGGATGAGTATCGCTTTGCACTCAGACTCTCTACAACCATAAAGCCTCCCAGCCAGATCCCTAGAACCCAGGAACAATCATGGACTCCCCTTTCCAAAACCTGAAACGCCCCTAGCACTAAGGAAGACTGGCCTCGTCATCGTCCCCACCGCCAGCATCGCGGCCGAGACCTGCCAGTGTGGTGCCCATGTGCTTGAACTGGGTGTTTAAGGAGGGATGTTGGGCAGATTAAACCCTCAACTCCTAAGCCCTAAAGGCTTCCGCTCTAGCCCTGAACCGTTCAGCCCAGGACTTGCAAGCATAACAGGCAGCTTTCGGGCTAAGGGATCTGCTCGAAAGGACCCATCGGTCGGAGGCGAGTTCCTAAGCAACCGTTCAGCCGGGTTTGTGGGGTTTAGTGTTCGCCGCCCTTATATGCATGGTTATAGGGTGGCCTAAGCCATCTACAGCAGAGTGCTACGAAAACCAGGGGTCCTTTACCCACCCGTTCTCAAACCACCAACTTGAGAATATCATGCAGCCTTTGATGATGACGGCCAGGTCGGAGCAGCCGGCAGCTCGGATAATTTTGCCTCGCAAGACTGGGTCCAGGGCGGCTGGGCTACAGGTTCAAGAAGGGCTTTAGGGTTTCAGGGTTGAGGCACCAGGATCCAGGCTGTAGGTGCTTCTGCGGTCTCCTTCAAACCATATCCTACACCCGAAATCCCAATAGAATAGACACTAAACCGCGTACCGTGAATTCTAAGCTTCTCTGCATCCTGGAAGCCAGAAAAGTGCAGTTTCAGCAAGTAAGGGACCCCAAAGAGTAAGATGCTCCTCATCCAAATGATGCACCCCTGATTATATGGAGCAAACCCCGGTATTTATCGAAGCCGTTCGTGCTCGCTTCTAAGTACCGACTGTGCTAAATAACAAGGCCGCAGAGGGGCAGTTGACATCAAGAAGCGCTGCACGATTGGAGTTCAACTCCTTTGCTGGGGCATGGACTGCAGGACACGTTCCCCATCGCTCAAGCCTGGGACTCGCTATTTGTGGCTGGACATGGCTGCAAGCATCCTTGCTTCGTTGCTTCATTAGTGCTGAACCCATATGCCATATGCTCTAATGGCCCTGGCCAATTGTTGATTTCTTGCCTCCAGATGAACAGCTGAGGACACCGCCGGGCACAGCCGGGAAGGGCCATGTCTATGATGGGTTAGGATTTTGCGGTGGCCTGGGGGCTCTGACTCGATGTGAGGAGTCTTTCTGATGCCACATGTGGGTTCTAGCGATATGCGGCATGGCTTTTGATGCGCATCTTGCGGTCTTGAGTCGGGTGCTCTGGAGCCCAGGCCGAAAGGGCTCACTATTGATCTGCGTGGCAAAGCCGGCCCTGCGAGACTTCCTGCACTCCCGCTTCTACGAAGTCTAGCTGATGCGCGCTCGAATTGGTTAAACCTGCTCGGTTGTAAAACTCTGAGCTATAGTATACAGGTCTGTTTTGTGAACAGGAACATCGTCCTTCGAATCTTGCATGATTGAACTGCGATATACCGCTAAACTCCGGTACTACAGCCCTACACTGAATTGCACCCTCAGCAGTGCCCATTGCTTGGCTTCAGAACGCAACACACTGCAGGGCAGTAGCACACCTTTTTGAGATCCAGGGTTCCGGAAGCTTCTCCGAATCAGCTGAGTAGGAGGGGAGTTCGGGACGCGGTAATAAATATTCTAAAACGCTGCGTTTTTCATAAACAACAATGTTTTCATAACAAACCAAGATGAAATCATGCACCACTCTGCTCAACCCATGGACGTGGATTGCAGCTAAGGGCCACCACTTGGAATCTTGGGGACGATTTCTTCTGAGATATGGGAGCAATCAGATCTAGGAGCGCAAATGCTTCCGGCGAGAGCTGGCTCATCCTATTTTCGTGTCTTGGTCTCGGCTTTCAAAATGTTATGCTTTGTGTGGGTAACTACATCCGAAAGAACATATGTCCCGTGTGAACTCAAGCCTGAAGTGGAGATTTCTATGAGGCCGAGGCCTGGGGGCAGCCAGCACTGCACATGGCTGTAGCGACTTAGAGAGCCTTGCGCTACTAGTGCGCGACCTGCCAGCTCTCGTAGTGTCAGCGGCATGAATTCTGCCGGCATCCAGGCGTGCGGAGAAGCTCATCGAAGTCTCATACCCCAACTTGCCGTTCTGAGCTTCTCCTTCTTCACCACGAGGCCCCAGAAGGCTCCATCGCTCGCTCCGCCGGCACTCCTGAGTTCTCCAGCTGGTGAGACTGTCGGAAGGCGCTTGCTTTCACAAGCTTGCCCGTCTCAAGACTCCCTTCGAGCTGGCTCTTTGGGGCGATTTTGGCTTTGCTGCCGGACCCTGGGCCCTTATTGCTCCATCACGGGCCTTCTAGGCAGCACTCGAAGCGCAAGAAGTGGACTATACCTTCTTCAAGAGTCAGCGGCTATTTAATGGCTATTTGCGTTCGTTTTGGTTTGCAGCAGGCCGAAGTATCGAGACGTGCAAAAGACGTGAAACAGAAAATCCTCCGCTTCCAGGTCGATTTCGTTTTCTATCCAGAAAACATAGGGACATGACATGTACAAACCTTGCGCAAATTGTTTGTGTGTCGGGCTTCAGGCGAGACTACGCTTGACCTAGCGAGCCTGGAAACCCTTGAAGCTTTTCTCTGTTGAAGGCTGCCAGAACACACGGGGCCTCGAACAGATTTGGCGCCATAGCATAACCGAGACAATCCCTGAAGCCATGCAGGGGCTTCCATGCGGGTTCTTATTGCCGGTTTTCAGACCTCGAAGGTGCGGGAGGTTCGGGTGAAACACTGCACTTACTGCATGGCAATTGCCAGCATTTGCAAATGATGCGCTTAGCGCAGCAAGGCAACAAGACTGCCAAGAGAGGCGCGGGCTTGAGGGATGTAGAATGTAGGCTTGGGTACACCGATCTCACAGGTTCGAGGCCTGAGGATGAGAACGGCTGTGGTAGTTTATCTGCTTCTGCGCGGTTAGTGGTGGAAAGGGGCTTACCGACAGCAAGAGGGTTTCTTGAGAGTCTAGCGGGGTCTCGCGGGACAGAGAGCAGACAGGGATCAGGACTTTGGCCTCAAGTGAAATCAGAGTTGACTGTCCACCGGTCTGGCACCTAGGGCACGCATCCTCCTTCGGCCACATTTTCTGCAAACCCATCGGCGGTGCAAAGCCGCCTCGTGGAGAAGACTGCCTGCTAGCGCGGGCTAGATGCTGCATCTACCCGTTCTCGCAACACAAACACGTGCTAGGTGCCGCGAGACGGACTACAGCGTGAACCCATAGCTCCTCAGCTACATTTGGCAGGAGGGGTCAAAGCCTGTAGCTACACAAGGCAAGTGGGTCTTGTTGGCAGTTGGGTGTGGAAAGCAGCGAGCAGGTCGGCATTTTAGGTTTCAGATCGGGACCCTCGCTTTATACCTATGCACCTCTGAACACCTCAAACGGTAAGACCTTCTCAATCTTCATCGGTTCAGAGTTCAGGGGGCGCGCTTCTGGATCCAGACTAGGGGCTCCAAACAATTAAGCTTTCAAGCCATCGACGCAAAATGCAATTAGGCGCTGCGTCCTCTCAGAATCTGCAGATAAAGAGACCCACATCCCAGCTATTCCGTGCCGACTGTAGTGATCTGCGGGGCTGTGAGGCATTGCAAGACTCCTGATCTTATCAAGCTCAGAAGATACCCCTAGGAAGACACCGTAATGACAAAGGGAAGCGCCCTCCATATTTTAGGGCATGTTCCATCACCCGAAAACTCCGGACATGTGAACCTTTGGATGGCCCAGGCCAAGGCCTCCGTCTTTAGCCTTCAACTTTGCCGGGCCTGAGGCGCAAGTTGGAGTGGCAGAGTGATGGGGGCAGCGTAGGCGTTGTGGATTTGAGGTCGCGGCTTGCGTTGTTCTATTGAAACTTCTGGGGCTCTATTTTGCTTGAGACTGCAGAGTCTATATGGTTTTGAACATCACCGAATCTCTTGAGGCTGACAGGTATATACGGCTGTTGTGGAAACAGCTTCAAATCCTAGAAGCGTGGCTGCGGAGATGCTCGGCAATCTAAGCAGATGGCCAGGTCCTGTTGTCGAAACGAGAAACGGCTTTTACCCAGTTGTGAAAAAATGAGGTGCGCGATCTTGAGGGTTTGGCCTTGCATTTCCAGCACGGGCTGACCGACCTTTAGATCCTAACCGACTGCTCCGTGCTATCCGGTTGCTAGATTTTGCTATCCGGTTGCTAGATTTTTAAGCCTTGGCAATTGCAAAGCCATGCCTCCCAATTCGATGGGTTTGAACACAAAATGCACACTGATTCGATGGGTTTGAACACAAATGCACACTGATTCGATGAGTTTGAACACAAAATGCACACTGGTGGAGTTATTGTCTTGTGGTGTCCGCTGAATATTGTGGATGGGGTGGGGTTCGTTGGTCGTGATTGGGCCGTTTTTGTACAGTATTGTACAGGCTTGTACAGTTGAAGCCCAGTACTGGGCACCTGATTCCGATTTGCGCAAACAAAAGAAAAATCTTATTCAATCTTATTTTATTGCAATATAACTCGATATATGGATATCATATATAGAATATAACGAAATAGGTACATGTATAGTACAACAAAAACGACGATGGAACAAAACACACCATGATCGAGAGAGCGAACAGAAAGCCAGAGATTGCCTCAGGATCGAAGCGCACTGTTTCATGCTGCATGTACATGGCTGTGCTCGCTTTTTTTGCTTGCCCGGGCTTGCATGATCGATTGCCACAAGATATGGTTCGAGACTTCGTATCTTTCGGCTATCATGCATGCGCATGAAACACATTTGCAGAGGGCGCACCGCTAAGTCCGGAAACATAAAATTTCAGGTGCTGCATGGGGGCACTATATAATAGATAGACTTTCCTGTCGTCTCCTCGAGCTCCATATAGCTATGGTAGGGGCCATGGATATGTCTCGAGATGACAAGGTTCGAGAGCTTGCACAACGTCTTTATGTAAACGTTTGCGAAGGCGATCTGGAACGCATCAGGACAACTGGTGCACTCACACCGAGCAACAACCTTCGCCACCGGGCAACCCGGCAAAAGCTGCAGTTCACGCGTGATCTTGATGGAAGGTGGTTCACTTACCAAATGGTGAGTGATGCTGTGCGGTACATTCTTTCCGACTTTCAGTTGGAGATACCAACCACTACTCCGGGTTTCAGTACAGAGAACTGGATAGCACAGACAAGCACTTCACTGTTGCATCTTTTGCAGAGATCACGCAGAACTGTGGCGGGGTCATCCGGCTCCGTGGCCATGGACAACGCCGAGACTCAGATTCTGGATGAAACTGAGGAACCGGATTGCACTCGTACATGTGGGATTTCTTTTGAGCATGCAGTCTTTGGTGGAATTTCTTATAGTACAATTTCTAGATTGGTTGTCGATACTATAGCTGCGCAGGACTCCCAGGTCTATGTGAACGACTGGCCGACGATCTCCCCCCCAGCCGTTTCTTGCCATCACAATAAATATGTTCCAGTTTCGTGGCACACATGCAGTAAATTAACCTTAGGCTTCCTTGGTTTCGAAGCGATCGTCTGGTGATCTCAGTGAACCTTGGCAGCAATACCTGTGGTCTTATCAGATATCGATTCAAGTGCAAAACCCTCTAAGTCAAAATAATGAGGTCTTAAGCCGATTATTGAATAAATTGCAGCAGGCTGGTGATGCCGAGATCCGGCCTTCGAAGCGTTTGAGGCTGAGGACCAAAACGCCGCTTGAATGATACAAAACCAGCAGTTGATAATATGATCGCCATCATTACAACCCTGCAGGTTGATATGCGAAGAATTTCGAAACCCTAAACCCTACACCCTCTTTAAACCCTAAACCCTTAAACCCTAAACCCTTAAACCCTAAACCCTATAAAAAAAAATCGATTCGACCTTAGGCCAAGCTATCTCTGCATCCCCGAGGATGTCGATGCGACTTGTCGGATATTAATATTGCTACTCTCAGGCATGCAATTCATATTGTGTGAGTCCAATATAGTTTACTGATCGAGGTGGGTGATGATGACGCCAATGGTTATCACGAGGGTGCTGAGAGCGGGGAGATAGATCTTCCAAAGGATGGGCCGGATCTACATGCTCCTTGCGCAGAGATTACAGTGGCTTCGAAAGTTACGTATATATATATATGCATGTGTGTGTGAGAGACTTTTTTGTGCGCGGCATGTTTGGTCAGTCTAAGGAGACTGTTCTGAGGAACGTGTCGTGGCATGCAAAACGGTTTGTGCTGGTCCGGTTGGTTGACACGCAGTGCTGCTTTCGAATTCGATCATGGCTGTGTGATTTAGATACGCCAATTAAGGAGTCGAATTCTGGTGATTGGATGGCCCATGGCGAGTGTGAACAATACTACGCCCAGGACCGCTGAATATATTTAATGCACAGATATACGGCATCATTCTATATTCTGGTATATGCTTATAACCCAGTTCCATGACCCAATCGCCTTCAGGATGGATCTGATTTTGATTGGGAAAAGGCCCACCAGGACTGAAATCGGGAGATGAGATATCGTTTGGAATTTCGTTAGGCATTACAAATAGATGCATGGTATATTGTGTTGATGAACGATCGTATTGGATTTCATGTTGCAGGACGCACTGTAGTCTATATTTGTCTGTTCAATTGAGTTTAGATGACAAAAATATAGAACGATAAAACTGTAAAATGATAAGAGATACTAACAGCTAACATGAAGGATCCGGTCATAGTATTCCGATCTAGCACGAGCATGACCACTAGAAAGCTAAGAATTAAGCTATAAATTATCCCGGGCTATATACTTCATAGCGATAGCAAATTAACTTGTTCCAGGAGTTTCTTGCCAAGAACGGCACAACCGAAGAGGATGATGAAGATATGGAGGATGATAATAGTGAGGCCGCTTTTGGCCGAAAGGAGAGCAAGTGTGGCCTTGCCAGTGGTTTGACGGGACCTGGCACGATTCTAGGTTCAGTCCGGAGCCTAGTCCGGAGCCTTATCAGGAGGATGACGGCGCTCGTGAAGATGATGCCAATGGCGAGCAGTATGAGGAGTGGGCCGAGGAGCCCGCCGATGATGGTGAGGATTGGGCCCGGGAGCTCACCGGAGAAGCAAGTCATGATGTTGAGGAGGAGTGGGCCGAGGAGGAGGAGTGGGCCGAGGAGCTCACCGCGGCCGCGGCCGGTGAGGGCAGCGAGTGGGCCGAGGAGCTCACCGCAGCCGGTGAGGGCAGCGAGTGGGCCGAGGATCCCACCGCGGCCGCTGAGGGCGGTGAGGATGAGTGGGCCGAGGAGCTCACCGCTGATCCAAGTCATGATGCTGGCGGTGAGGATTGGGGCCAGGAGCTCGCCGTGCAAGCAAGTCATGATGCTGGCGATGAGGAGTGGGCCGAGGAGCTCGCCGGTGAAGCAAGTCATGATGCTGATGGTGAGGAGTGGGCCGATGAGCTCACCGTGGAAGCAAGTCATGATGCTGGTGAGGAGTGGGCAGAGGAGCTCAGCGGGGAAGCAAGTCGTGATGCTGGCGGTGAGGGGGCCGAGGAAGAGATGTGGGATGATGATGAATGGGACGAGGAGCCCGCCGAGAACAAGGCTTGCTATGCCAATGATGAGGCATGGGGCGAGGAGCCAATGGAGGGAAAGCCTTGCCCTAGCAAAGATGAGGAATGGGGCGAGCCAACCGAGGAAAAGCCTTGCTTTGCCAATGATGAGGAATGGGGCGAGGAGCCAATGGAGGGAAAGCCTTGCTTTGCCAATGATGAGAAGTGGGGCGAGGAGCCAAGCGAGGAAAAGCCTTGCTTTGCCAATGATGAGAATTGGGGCGAGGAGCCAAGTGATGAAAAGCCGGGCGCGGACGAGACCTGGGATGAGGCAAAGCAAGATGCCGAGAAGAGTGGTGAGGCCGATCCCACTTGGATCACGTGGCCGAAAGCCCCTGGATCCGTTGTGACGGATGAGTACCCTGATGAAGCCCAGCAGCAGAAGCTGGACGAGTTTTGGAAGAAATATGTGGTCCGAAAGGAGCCCACCCTGTGTATGAGTTCGATTGCATGGGGATAATAATCATAATAATTTGAAATTTACAAAAATGAATAGAGCCCACCCGCTAGCAGGAGACTCACGACTACGTGAAGCCGACCGGCAAGAACGAGACGCCCCCCGCTGACACTGCCAAAGAGGAGAGACACCGTACAATTGAGATCTTGTTAGTCGCAGTTTCATTCCGAAGTTGAAGCTTTTGCAGTTCCATATCATAGTTTGTTTTCTGAGACAAGATCTACGTGTGAAGCAAGTAAAATCTGAAATAGCCATTTAATATATGATGCGACATATTCTCGGAAACAGGATTTGATTATGCGACCGAAGCCAACGGACTCTTGGCTTCGATTTGTGCTTCTAGTGCAGAGTTCGTTCTGGCATTACCACATTTCTGTAGTCACTTCTGATTTCAATCCAAGGTTTCGAAACGACTCCAAGGACTCCAAGGATCCTCGACGGCCCCGTTTTTTGTCAAATATTAGACTGTCATTCACACTCCGAGACCCCACAATTAAAACTAACACTAAAGTCACAACTCCCAGGCGACCGAGCGTCAATACTGGCCAGCTGGAACAGGCTGGGCCGGGTCAAGGGCTCGAGAGATGTGCACGAAGGTTGTGTGTTTGTGTGCGCGCTTGATCGAGATTTCCATCGAGTCGATAGTCTGAGCCCGAATCCTAAACCTAAATTCCCTATTATATGATTTGCAGACCAGCAGCCATTGTTTTTAGGTCCTCCAAAGCCAAGCATCCATTCGATTCGGATCGCCTCGAGGCTAGCCGCCGACCTCGCGATCTGACCCGCTCAGACAAAGGACCTGAGGCACCTTCGGCCTTATATTTGGTTTAGGGCAAAGCCTTTTCCTGACAATGTACGAGATTTGGCACATTTCTCCCCTATACACCCAGCTATAGCTAAGGAGTTCGAGATCCCCAATGCTTTGCAAATGAAGGGGCTTGGTTCGCTACCAGAGAAGGTCATCCAAGCTTCGCTAGAAGGCAAGCACAAGCCGGTGAACCCCCATCGACAGCGACTCCTAGTGGCCGCAAACAAAGCAGTCGAGGTCGAAAAGATCCCGCCAGCAGCTGCTCCGAAAAGCAAGCAGAAGGGAAAGGCGACAGCAAAAAAAGAGGAACCAAAGGCTACTTGCAACGACGACCACTCAGAGAGTCCAAAGCCAACGACCTCGAGCCAGCCACCCAAGAAAAGACCACCGTATGCAGACACGCCCTACAATGTTGCAAGAAAGAAATTCTTTGCCACGTCACTCGACTAATAATGTGAGTCATCGGTCGTTTCATTATAGTACCTACCATCGAACCCCCAGCACTTGCATCCTAGGCTGCCCCCGAAGCTACGCCAGTCTGAGAAGCAATCCAGGCCACTTCGCAGCATTGAGATGGTCCATATATAGGATGTGGGCATCGCCTCTCTCCCTCTCTCTCTCTCTCTCTCTCTCTCTTTATTATATATATGTATATATACATATCTATCTACCTATCTATCTATCTATCTAGCTATCTAGCTATCTAGCTATCTATCTATCTCTCTCTCTCTC